TTTTTTTTTTTGAGACAGGGTCTCCCTGTAGTCCTAGCTGGCCTAGAACTTACTATGTAGACCAGGCTGACCTTGAACTCACAGAGATCTGCCTACCTTTGCATCACAAATGCTGGGATTAAAGGTATGCGCCACCACACTTGGCATAGACAGTTTTTAAATTTTATTTTATTTTATTTTGAGACAAGGTCTCCCTGTAGCCCCAGCTGGCCTGGTAATTGCTATATAAACCTGGCTGGCCTCAATCTCACAGAAATCTGCCTGCCCCTGCCCTTGAGTGCTGGGATCAAGGCATGCACCACCACACCTGGTGACAGATAGCTCTTTGATTGCCCCATCTACTGGTAAATATGACATCATATGCATGTATGATCTGACTCAAAAGATAAAGACTGTTGAGGGGCTGGAAAGATGGCTCAGTGGTCAATAACACTGGCAGCTCTTGCAGAGGACCTAGGTTCAAATCCCAGCACCCACAGGGTAGTTAACAACTAGAACTCCAGTTCCAGGAGATCTAATGCTCTCTTCTGTCCTCCACAGGCATTGCATGACACAGGTGCACTTACATACATGCAGGCAATACACTCATACATATAAAATAAAAATAAATAATTAAAAAAAAAAAGATATAGACTGTTGGAAATGCTTCGAGGACATGAATAAGTTTCTGTGGCCCTTCAGATTATCCTCTCCATAAAGTACACTGAAGAAAAAGACAACAGGGAAGATCAGATCAACAGGTTTATTAGAAGGATAAACTAAATTATCTACCATGGTATGTTTGCAATCTGGTTAATTAATAAACAATGACTGCTGACAAAAAGAAAAAGATTAAGTGCTTGCTCAAAGTTGTACAGCCTAGATTCCAATTCAGAGGCAGTTGGTCTTTTTGAGACAGGTCTCCCTGTAGCTCCTGCTGGTCTAGAACCTGCTATGACCAGGTTGGCCTGGAACTCAACAGAGATCCACCTGCCTCTGCCTCCCGAGTGCCGGTACTAAAGGCATGCGCCACCACGCCTAGCTTTCTTTCTTTTTTCTTTCTTTCTTTCTTTCTTTCTTTCTTTCTTTCTTTCTTTCTTTCTTTCTTTCTTTCCTTGTGTGCATTGTATGTATGTGTGGTTTCATGTGTGTGCCACAGTGCATGTGTGCTAAGAGGAAACTTGTGAGAGTTGGTTCTCTCCTTCCACTGTGTGGGTTTCAGGGGTCAATGTCAGGTTTTCAGGCTTGGCAGCAAGTGCCCTGATCCACTGAGCCATCTCATTGGGCGCGCGCACACACACACACACACACACACACACACACACACACACTTTTTGTGAGACAAGGTCTCATTATGTACCTTGAGGCTGGGCTGTAACTCTTTATGTAGTCCAGGCTGGTCTTGACATCATGGAGGAGATAATCCATCTGCTTTAGCCTTCCAAGTGCTAGGATTACAAGGGTGTGCCATCACACCCAGTCTAATCCTTACTTTCTTCATTTATAGATTAATTTGTGTCTGTCTTAGTTTTAACAATGGCATCCCTTCTAAAACTCATGTTGAACAGCTACTTACAGAGTCACTACCATAAAGCTTCAAAATTCAGTCTGCTTTTCTTGAATTACTCAGGAAAGTATAACTTCTTTTATCTTTTTCTTTCCAAAACATTTATTTTTATTTTATGTGTACGAGTGTTTTGCCTGCATGTACATAAGTATAACTTTGCATGCGATATCCTCAGAGGTCAGAAAAAGGTGTCAGATCCCCTGGAACTAGAGGTACAGGAGGTTGTTAGCCACCATGTGGGTGCTGGGAACTGAATTCAGGTCCTCTGCAAGAACAGAGCTCTTAACCACTGAGCCATCTCCCAACCCCTAAAATATTTACTTATTTTATTTTATCTTATCTTATCTATTTTATTTTATTTTATTTTGGTCTTTTTGAGATAGGGTCTCCCTATAGCCCCAGCTGTCCTGGAACTCACTAGACCAGGCTGGCCTTGAACTCACAGAGATCTGCCTGCCTCTGCCTTCCAAGTCCTGGGATTAAAGATGTGTGCACCACACCCGGCTTAAAATATTTATTTTAAAATTATGTGTATATATCTGTGTGGGGGCATGTGCATGTATGAGTGAAGGTGCCCACAGAAGCCAGAAGACAGCCTCGATCCTCTGGAGCTGAAGTTATAGGCAGTTGTGAGTTGCCCAATGGGAACTGAACTGAACCCTCTGCAAGAGTATTATGCATTTTTACCTGCTGAACTATCTCTCCACTCCCTCTACTTTTCTAAGCCTGCGTTCCCCTAATGCTTTGGGTTTCCCTCTCTAAAGCTCCCCTCCCCACGAGGTGGCTGCTGGTCTACCACATGGCTAACCTTCACACTGGCTTAACTCAAAAGGTGTGGCCTTTTTCTTTCTCTTCTCCATTTTCTTTTCCTGGGCAGCTGGCAGGATTTACAGCTTACTTTCCCTGGGATTTTTCTTTTAGACTCAAATAAAATTATCCTAGAGACTGACATACCATACTTTTCATTCCTCAAATTCCCACCCCCTAGCTCAATAACTTACTGGGCCACAGCTGTGTCGTCTTGTAAATTTACCCACTTTTGATTATTCAGAAAAGTATAACCTTTCCTTTTCTTTTAATCTCTTTGTAAGCATTCTTTCCCTAATACTTCGGGCTTCCCAACATTTTGGGTTTCCTTATTCTCTAAAGCTCCCCTCCTGAACCATGTGGCTATTTGCCATGTGACTGACCTCCATGCCAGCCAAAAATGGCATGTTTTTTTTTTCCTTCTTTTCTCCATTTTCCTCTTCTGGGGCACCTGCTAAGATTTATAGTTTTTTGCCTGCCTGGGTTTGGTTTTCTTTTTTAAATGCTAGTAAAATTTTCCTTAAACATATATACACACACACACACACACATATTGCTCTTGAGCTTCGATTTGAGTCTATTTTAAATTCTTTTTTTAAAAAAATTTTTATTTTAGGTGTATGCATGTATTGTCTGCATGTAGGTAAGTGCACCCGTGTCGTCCAATGCCCACCGAAGAGAGAAGAGACGGTCGGATCCTCTGATACTGGAGTTATGGACAGTTGTTAGCTGCCGTGTGTGTGCTGGGATTTGAACCCGGGTCTTCTGCAAGAACAACCAGTGTTCTTA